GTCCGTTGGCTTTTGCAGGACTCGCCACCGGGGTTCAGAAGCAGAGAGGCCAAAAGTCAATTAGAATTCGTCCCCCCCCACCTCCACCCCCCCAAATTGCGCGTTGGGGAAGGCGCAATTTTTGGCAAAGTGGGATTGGGCGCAAACCGAGTTTTCTCCCATCCCCTACTCCAACGAAAGGAAAAAGGCGTTTTTCCACCACCACCGCTTCTTCCAATTTAGGCTGAACAAAAATTGATAAGCCGGCGAGTCTTCCTCTATGGACAAGCTAAAAATAAGCGCCAACTCCTCATACGCCACCAAAGAACGTCGCACGATTGGGGGTGGGATGGAGGGTGTCTGTGTGTCTGGATTAGAATCCACTTCTTGCCTTATCCCGGACAGGGACCCGGCGGTCGTTAAAGAAGCGAGTCAGAGACACGTGCGAAGCAGGCGCGGTTCCAAGCCAGGAAAGCGCACAGCAAACTCAAGCTGGCGGGCCAATGGATGATGGCTTTAAAACGTGGTTTACATAATAAAACCAATATGCACCAAGACAAATTCCTTGTGTGTCCAATCACACTTGGCCAATAAAAAAAATTCTAATAATTCTAATTCTAAAACCCAGCTGGCTGGTTTTCTAAAAGTAACGCGGTTTGTTGCCCCCCCAATATCTGAATCTAGTCAACGAAAATAAACCAGCATTCCGTCCACACGCTAAAGGAGGGTTTTTTAAAAAAATTTTGCTTAGGGCCGGTGTGTACGTTGGTGAGGTTTAGCGTTGGGTAGATCCCTTGGATTCGTTTCTGGCCCGTGGCAGACAGAACGAAGAAATTCAGGAAGCGGGTCGAGAAGGGTCGTGTGGACGCAGCTGCTGGGAAAACGGGGTGGGCCACAGTTTAACCAAGGGCGTCCATACGGCTGAAGCTGGGTTCCCGTCCCCTCCCCACGAGGATAAACCGCGGTTTGCGGAATAGAGGGCTGCATTGACTCGCGGCAAACCCAACCCCAAAGATCTGTCTTGACAGCTAAACTTGCGGGCCCAAAAGTTTGGCCTGTCTCTGTGGTGGCCGGAGCGGAAAAACTCGCCCAGTGGTCAATTTGGGAAGGGGGCTTGGATCCTGTTTTTTTGGGGGGTGGACAGAAACGATGGAAGTAATTTTGGGGTGCCAAGGTTCCCCACCCCGAGGTGCATAAGATGGGGAGGGGGCTTTCGCGGCAGGTGCGAAGCCGAAAGAGAAAAAGTGTGTATTACTTATTATTATTATTATTATTATTATTATTATTATTATTATTATTATTTATTCGGAGTATGCCGGCTTGCCTCGATATTAACACGCGAAGATCCTTCGCTTTAGGTGAGACGCTTCAGAGAACCCGATCCCAGATTCCGACGCTATCGAGGACATTTAAATCTCCCCCAACCTGTCCTGATCAGCTCCCCCAATACCGTCTCCCCAGATTTCAAGCCCGCAAGGAAGATTTCACAGCCCCCTCATCTCCAACTCACTGGCCGGGCCTGGCGGTGCCTTTTTTTTTGGGCAAACCATCTTTCCAAGCCGAGAATTTGGCAAATCGGGCTCAGAGAGCCGCGTGGAAGGGGGGATTGGAGGGGGGGGGGCGCAGAGACAAAGCCCAGCCGAATTAGCCCCCGATCCTTTGCGCTCTTCTAAGGGCGGGGGGGGGGGGGTTTAAACTCGCACCCGCGCGGTTCTGCGCTTTTGGGATGCAGCTTCGCGTCTTTTTTTCCGGAGGGGTCCTTTCCCCGGTTTAAACCGACGACCCTCGAATTTCTCTCGGGGATGTGGGGGGGGCGGCAGGCAAAGGGATCGCTTAAACTTAAACGTAAATTTAAAAAGCGGGAGCTTTGACAAAGCTCCTTCTCGTCTCTACATTTCCTGTTTAATTTAGTTATTTTTCCCCCTCCCTCCCTTTAAACATTTCTTTTAAATTTTAAAATGTTTCTGCACCATTTGCGAATTTCCCTTTTTTGTTTTTTTTTTAATTTTTAATTTAATTTAATTTAATTTTTATTTTTTTTTTTGCGCCGTTTGAATGGGAGCGCGTCTGTCTCTTTATTTTTCCCGAATTCGTTCGGGTTGGAAAGCTTAGTTGGCCGGTCGAAGGAAGCGCGGCTCCTCGCCTCGGGTCCTTCTCTGGAAAACGCGCTCCCACCCCCCCCCATGAGACTTACGCCCCCAATTCTTGCGCTTCCCGTTAGCTTTCGTTCCCGACTCAACGAGCGCGCTCCCTTCCCATGGAAAGCAATCTCCCCTGCTCAAACAAGGACCGGAATGAGGCGGCTCGGCCAAGCCGTGCGCGCCCGGACTAGATGGGTAAAAAACCCGAAGGCGAGGCGCCGATCCTCCGCGCTTTCTCCCGTCCTGCGCGGGCCTTTAAAAAGCCGGTTTTCGCGAAACCTTTAAAAAGGATCGGCCGGCTAAACTATTTCCTAGGGGGAAAATTCAAAAATAAATAAAGGGAGAAGGATTTAAGATGAAATCACCACCAGGCCGGGCTTCGAGAGACGAGGCTCGTTTTCCCGAGCTGGGATGCGCGGTTTTCGGGTCCAAGCGGGGTGGGGGGGCGGGTGGGCTCCAAATTAATCTGGGTTTTATTGAATTTCTTAATTTTAATTTGGACTTCTGTTTTAATGGTCTGTTTTAATCGTTGTGAGCCGCCCTGAGTCCTGTGGAGAGAGGGCGGCAAACAAGTCCCAATAAATAAATAAATAAATAAATAAATAAATAAATAAATAAATAAATAAATTTCCCCGAGGAAATTTGGAGCCCCTACCCAGTTTGGACACGAAAACCGCGCATCCCAGCTCTTATATATATATACAATATATATACAAATTATTTATTTATATACAATTTATATACAATATAAATATATGTATAGTATATATAATTTATATATAAAGCCGTCCCAAGAGACAAACACGACGCTAACCTCAGCTGCCTGAAGCCCGAGGCGGGCCGGGAAAGATGGGACGTGTAGTCACCCTCCCCTTTCGAAAGAAAGCCGGCGGGGATCACTCCCCTCTCACAACCCGGATCTTGAAATAAATTCTGACAAGCTTCCAAAGACGCGGGGATGGCGGCCTTGACCCTTTCCCTAATTTGGGGGGCGCTCCGGGGCCTTCCTGGCCTGGCATTGGGGAGTTCGGGCGGAGGGCAACGGTTGAACGGAGGTCGGATTCCTCCGTGGGTTTTTACCCCCCTCTAGTGATCTCCCACCCGGGTCCCCCGATCGAATGGACGCGCCACCCCGTTCAGCTCGCTTTGGATTCGTGTACCAGACTTTGTTCTTCTCTAATTCTACATTTGCACACTCGCCTCCATTTCTACACGCGTATCTAGGTTCACATACCCGCCTCCATTTCTACACGCATACCTAAATTCTCACATCCGCCTCTATTTCTACACGCATACCTGGGTTCGCACACCCGCCTCTATTTCTACACGCATATCTGCGTTCACATATCCGCCTCTATTTCTACACGCATACCTAGGTTCGCACACCCGCCTCTATTTCTACACGCGTATCTGGCTTCGCACACCCGCCTCTATTTCTACACGTGTAATCTAGGTCCTGGCACCCACGCGCCTATCAGAATAGACCCCACGTAGGTGAAAGGCGAAATATTTCTCCATTATCTACCCCAGCCGCTCCCCGCTTTTGCGGGCTCCCTTTGTGGGAACCTCAGCTGCATTCCCCGCGCGGCGCCGGCTTGGCTCGGATCCCAAAGCCGCCCCTCTTGGTCCGGGAAAGAAAACGCGGATAAAAGGACCAGGCTTTTCCCCCTCCCAACCCCGCATTGAAAAGCTTTTTTTTCTTCCTTTTTCTCCCTTCTCTCGCCAGGCCGACTGTGGCGACCTGAGACCCGGGAACAAAGGCGACCCCAGAAATAGGCTTTCCGCGCACTCGCTCGCCCTGGGCTTTTTCCTATAAGCGCGGAGCATCCCCTGCGCGCAAGGCGCTGAACGAGGCCGGGCCGTCGTTCGTCCGAGAGCTTCCCTTTCCCTTCTTCCATCCCTGGCGCCCGGTCGAACGGGAAAGAGCTGGCCCTAATCCGCCTGGCCGTGGGAATCCCCACGAGGAAGAGGAAGAGGAAGAGGGAGGGAAAAAGCGCTCTGCACGCGCTCAGAAATGCTGTCTAGGCTTCCGGGCGAGCGGAGATCTCCCAGACCCAGAACCTTTGAAGCGGAACCTCGGCCCCGAAAAAGACTCTCTCTCTCTCTCTCTCTCTCTCTCTCTCGCATGGAGAAGCGACCTTCGCGGGGCGCGTATCTCCCCTTTGAAAGGAGGCGTGGGACAGGTTTGCAATTGCACGTGTCGAGTCGAAGAAGAGGGAAAGAGCCAAAGGACAAGGTTTCAGGGCGCGGAACAATTCGGCGTGGGGGTGGGGTGGGGGGAAGTAATGCCAAAGACAACCAGAAACCTCCCCCCCCCCCCCCGCTCCAGCCCAGGTAAGAGCAATCGCCGGCATATTTACCCAGAAGTAATCCCTCCCCCTTCCTCTCGACTCCATAGTTTCTCCTAAGAAGGAACAAGCCCGCTTCCTGATTCTCACAAGGCGTTGGACTAGCTCAGGGAAGGATTTAGCAGTCTGCGCCCAATCCGTGACAACGTTACTTTCTTTCTTTTTCTTTCTTTCTTTCTTTTCTTTCTTTCTTTTCTTTCTTTTCTTTCTTTCCTCTCTCTCTCTCTCTCTCCCTCTCTCTCTCCCTCTCTCTGTCTCTTTCTTTCTTTCTTTCTAGATTTGGGAAGTCTTAGCAGCCTTATTTGAATCCCAGGCCCGCCAGGATATTTCCCTGGTGAGTAACGTTCTGGGGAGGCGGGGAATACACCTGAACCCGGTTTAATTCAGGAAAGCAGGTTTAAGCGCGTCTTGTGAATGGTGGTGGGAAGGCTGACTTCCGTGTCAAGAGGCCTAGATTCGTGTCGTGAAAACGAAGAGGGAGGCGGAAGCAAGGAAGGAAGGAAAGGGGCACAAAGCCCTTTGGGAAACTTACCTAAAGAAGTCGTTTTTACAGTAGAGTTTTCCTTCTCTGGAAAAGCATTTCTCCGTCAAGTTACATTTACATTCGCAGCACTGGACGCATTTCACGTGCCAAGCCCGGTCCAGGACGTTGAGCAGGAAGCGGTCCAGGATGGGTCTTTTGCAGCCGGCGCAGTGAACCATTGTCTTTGGCTAGAGGTCGTGCTGGGGCGTGGGGGAGGGGGGGGCGTCCTGGGGTGAGGTGGGGGTGTCGGAGGAGAGGGCGATGCCGAAGTTGGCCGAGAGAAAAAAAAGTCCGTGCTTCAAAAGTCCTTCCCGGATTTCAAGAGAGCAAGGGGGACGAAACGAAGGCGAGGAGTCCACAAACTCCAAGCCTCAAACGAAGACCCCAATTTGGGGGGGGGCGGGAGGCGCAGGCAAAAAGAGAGAGAGAGAGAGAGAGAGAGAGAGAGAGAGAGAGAGAGAGAAAGGAGCCCCCTCCCGGCTCTGTTGGTTGGCAGAGCCTGAAAGAAGCTGGCAGCTGGTCTTGAACAAGGTCGGGGCAGGATCGCGGAGCGTGGGGGGTGCCCCACAGACGCCCCTCTTTAGTGCATCTCGCCAACCGCCTTTTCCTTCTCAATTGTTCCAATCATCATCGTCATCATCATCATCATCACATCATCAGCGAGTTCCCCTTTTCCCCGTCCAGAGGTTTTGGTGAGTCGAGAACCAAAAAAAAAAAAAAGTTATTATTATTATTAATAATAATAATGTCCTTTTTCTTTCCTTCTGGGCTGTATGAATGTTTTGCAAGGGAAGTTCTCCAAAAGGCCGGCTAATAATAATAATAATAACAACAACAATAGTCAAGTCGAACTGAGCAGGACGAAAAATCGGAAGAGGAAGGAAGGAAGGACCATCGATCGGTTGTAAAAAGAAACAAAAGGCCAGGAGTTTTCTCAGGTTTGAGGTAGAGCAGTCCGAGGTCAAAGTGCAATCAAGGACGAAATATATTTTTTTTTGAAAAATCCCGCCTCCTTCTCCTCCTCTTCTTCTTCCTCCTAGGGAAAAAAATAATTCAGCAATAAATTAAAAAAAAAAAGTGGGGGGGAGGCAGCGGTGACCGCAGGCGAACGACAGGTCGACGAAACGAGAAGCGGGAGCGAATCTTTTAACACCTGAGCCGGATGGGAAGAAGAGCCGAGCCGGGAATTGGGGCGGTGGGGGGGGGGAAGGAAATCAGAGACAATTGGGGTCTCTCCAATCTAGAAAGAGTTTCATTTTAGGAACCGGGGACAAGGCAAGGAATCACACCGACTCTCTTTCTTTTAAACGGTCCTTTTCTCTCCTCCGTGGCTTTTGCGAATTATAGATAAATATATATATATACATTTATATAAATACATATATATTTATATATATATATAAATAAATAAAAATCCAAGTTGTCCTAGAAGACACGGCCTTTCCTTCTTTCCCTCTAGATTGGGCTTCGCGATTTGTCCTCTATTTTAAAAAATAAAAATAACAATAATTCTTGGCCTGGGGGGGTGGGTGGGAGGGGAGTGGGCGAAGGGGTGGGGGTGGGGGGTAGAGAGGGGAAAAGAGAGCAAGGAAAAAGCAGCAAGTGACCTACCCCCTTTACGGGTGCCTGGTCCATGGGGAGGGACGGGGGACGGCTCGGGTGCTGCTGGATCGAGGCTGCGTGCCGGGTGGGGGGCGCAAAGGAAAGGAGAGTGGGGGGAGATGGACCCCTCTCCGGAGGGGGCAAAAAATGCCTGGAGGCCCCCCTCTTTTTTCTCTCCTTGCTCCCCCAAATCCTCTTCCTCTTAGGGCGGCGTGGCTGCGGGGGAAGAATGAATGCCGCCCCCCCACCCTACCTGGCTGCTTCGCCAAGCGCGCGCCCGCGCGCGTCTGTCTGTCTGTTTGTCTGCCTTGCCTTGCTTTCCCTCCCGGCTTCGTTGGCTGCGTTTCGGCTTCTGCTTTGGCCCGGCCGGCTTTAGACTGCGGCTCGGCCTCGACCTCGCCTCCGAAGCCTTATGCAGCGAGCGGCCACGTCACGGCAGCCGACGGCCAATCGGCGCCCGGCTGGCTCCAACCTGCCCCCTCCCTCCCTCTCTCCTTCCCTTCCCTTCCCTCCCTTCCCTCCCCTCCCCAACCCTCTCTACGCCTGGCCTCGGCTCCTGACGCTCCGGAGCATCTTTGGCGGCTGCCCGCAGAGCCGGCTGCTTTCCGAGGGGCGGAGAGAGGATGGAGGCGACCCGCTGCCCCCCCCCCCCCCCACGCACCCACCCCCCTCCGAGAGAGCGGTACGTTTGGGTCAAGCCGCGCTGTCACCCCCACCCATCCCCCACCCACCCCGAAGGTTGGGTGGGGAGGGTAGAGGAAAAGGATGGAGATATGGGGCGGGTGGGATTCGAACACGTCTGGAAAACGCCTGCCTGGAAGTTTTCGACGGGGCACACTGTGGGAAGAGGAGCCCGGCCGCGCAAGAGTTGGGGGTCCGGTTTGTCTGCGCTGAAGCTTCGTGGGAAGGGGCTGGCTAAGCGCCGGGAAAGCGAGCGGGAGGAGGCCGGAGGAAGATGGGGAAAGTCTTTTAAAATTTCCCCTTCCCTTTTCTGTCTCTCTTCCCTTTTCTCTTCCCCTCTTTTTCTCTCTCTTCTCTTTCTTGTTTTAAAATTTTCTTCTGTCTGCCTTTTTTTTTTTTTTTTTGCTTTAATTTATATGCCGCCCTTCTCCGGAGACTCAGGGCGGCTTACAATGCGTTAAGCAATAGCCTTCATCCTTTTGTATATTTATACAAAGTCAACTTATTGCCCCCACAATCTGGGTCCTCATTTCACCTACCTTAGAAAGGATGGAAGGCTGAGTCAACCTTGAGCCTGGTGAGATTCGAACTTGCAGTAATTGCAAGCAGCAGATGTTAAATCTGTTAATAACAGTGCTTTAGTCCACTGTACTACAGGCTCACTTTTTTTTTCTCAGTCATTCTTTCCCTCTCTTTCCTTCCTCCTTCGATCCTTCCTTCCTTCCTTCCTTCCTTCCTTCCTTCCTTCCTTCCTTCCTTCCTTCCTTCCTTCCTTCCTTCCTTCCTTCCCTCCCTCCCTCCCTCGGAAGAAGTGAAGGGGGGACCAAGCAAAAAAGTCATTTCCACGTTCACTTCCCTGAGTGGATACCCCAAGAAATCCAGTCTTTTCCGGTCCACAGAGCTTCCATTCCGAACAGAGGGTCACTTCTACGTTCCTAAAAGTTTCCACTCTTTCCAAAAAGAAAAAAAAAAGGAAAGGAAAGGAGGGGGGGGAAGCAGATAAAAATTGAAAGAAGGGGAAAGAGAGCGCTCGAGAAGGAAGCGTGGTCCTAGGAACCGTCCAAGGGAGGTGGGGGCGGCGTTTGCAAGCATCCCCTGGATCGCGTCTTAAGAAGGCAGGCAAACCCTAAAAGTTTAGAATTGGCAAAAGGGAAACAACTGGTGCCGAATGTAATGTAGGTCCGTGGGAGGTGGGGGTCTGCCAAAGCCATGGGTGGGCGTCAGTGGAACGCGAGCCTCTTGAGGGCTAGAATCTTGAGCCTTGAAAGTTTTGTAAACCGGAGGCTGCAATCAGCCTGGCTTTTCAGCGCGCGCTGTTGGTAAATCTTGGCGGGCGCAAAATGTGTGCGCGCCTTACACAAAAGGCTCACCTGAGCTTCCCCTTACCTTGGAATCGGCCCCTTTCTCCCCACAGACAGGGACTACCTTCGAAGCATCGAGGGATCCCCCGCCGCCAGCTGGCTGGACCGCTGGCCAGCCAACGGAAGAAATAATAATAAGAAATTCCCCACGCCGGAATTTCTAAGGGAAACCTTCCGTCTTTGTGCGGGGGGGGGGGGGAGGATTAGCCAATACAGATTTCCCCCCTCCGGTCCATGTTTTTATGGCGGGGGGGGGGGCGGAGAAATGACCTGAATTTCTTTTAAAAGGAAAGTGTGAAGTTGACTCCCCCTCCGGTGAAAATAAACGCGAAACCTCTGGAGAGTTTGCGATTCCACGCACCCCCCTATATGGTGATAAGGCCCAAGGGTCACCGTGGGCTTCTTTTGATGGCCCTACCAGCCAGAGTGGAATTCACAGATAAGGGTTTATATTGGCGGCGTTTTGTTTATTTAGGAAGTTTATTCTCGTTTCCCTCCTCTGTGTGTGTGAGAGAGAGTGGGGGAGAGAGGGAGAGGGAGAGACAGAAAATGTGAGAGGGGGGAGATGGAGAGAGATAGAGGAAGAGGGAGAAAGAGAGGGGGAGAGAGGGAGAAAGAAAGAAAGAGGGAGAGAGGGTATAAGAAAGATGATGGAAAATGAGAGAGGGGAGGAGAGGAAGGAAGGCAGGGGGAGGAAGGGAGAAAGAGAGAAAGAGAGAGGGGGAGAGGGAGAAAGAGAGGGAGAAAGAGGAAGAGGAAGAGAGAAAGAGAGAGGGGAGAGGAAGAGGGCAAAAGAGAGGGAGGGAGATGGATATGGAAAATGAGAGGGAGGGGAGGAGAGGGAGAAAGAGAGAGGGGAGAGAGGGAGAAAGAAAGAAAGAGGGAGAGGGTAAAAGAGAGATGATGGAAACTGAGAGAGGGGAGGAGAGGGAGGAAGGCAGGGGGAGGAAGGGAGAAAGAGAGAAAGAGAGAGGGGGAGAGGGAGAAAGAGAGAAGGAGAAAGAGGAAGGGAGAAAGAGAGAGGGGGAGAGGGAGAAAGAGAGAAGGAGAAAGAGGAAGAGAGAAAGAGAGAAAGAGAGAGGGGGAGAGGGAGAAAGAGAGGAAGGGAAAAAGATGGATATGGAAAATGAGGGAGAGGGGAAGAGACGGAGAAAAAGAGAGGGAGGGAGAGAGGGAGGGAGAAAGAGAGGGGAAGAAGAGAGAGGGGAAAGAGGAAGGAGAAGGAGAGAGAGAGCGAGAGCGAGAAAGAGAGAGGGGGAGAGGGAGAGGGAGGGAGAAAGAGACATGGAGATGGAAAATGTGAGGGGGGGGGAGAGGATTATCTGCGCCTGTCACAGATAAAGCTTGGGGAAGTTTGAGAGCAGAGAAAACGGAAGTCCTTCGCCTAATTCAGGGCGCACAAGGGGCGCTCGCCAACTCCCACCTCCGCCCCTACCTTAAAAGCCGACGCTGTGACACATTTTAAAATCCCCCCCCTCCCGCGCGCCGCCGTGATCTACTTAGCATCTCTCGTTTCCCAAACATCGCTCACTCTTGGTCCTTAAATTCAGCCCGGGGAGAGAGAGGACCAGGGGTTCCTTTGTAAGGGGGGTGGGTGGGGTGGGGGAAGCTAGATTTAAATCTCTCCCTATCCCAATCTCTCCCTCTGCCCCCCCCTTTCAAACAAAGTTAAAGTCTGTTTTGGACCAACAAACCCCTGAGCCAAAAATTCTCGCCCACCTACGGGATATATAATAAAGGCTTGAGGGACCCCCATGAGCGCATTTATAAATCGTCCTTAATCCTCCTTAACTAGGAAACAAACCCCCCCCCACCCCCCAAAAAACAGATCCATTAAAAAAATAATATTTTTTTTTTTAAAAAAGGCAACATTGTCATTGTTAAAGGAGAGAACCTCAAACGAGCCGGTTTTATTTGTATTTTAGAAAACGCGGCTGGTTTCAAGGAAAAAAAAATTGAAGTGGGGCATGTACCGTTTGCTGCTCAGAAACGAACCGCATTAAATCCGGATTAACTGTACCGTCGTTGCTCAGGATCCAATCTCGTTAGAAGTCAGAAAAGAAGCCCCAAATCAGGTTTTGGAGTATCCAAATTAGCTCCATCACCCCAAAGGGTTTCTCCCCCACCCCCAATGTCTGTCCCTAAATTTCCTGATATTTTCTTTCTCCCCCTCCCCCCCCCCCACACCACCAGATTCTGTGGGCTTAATTGGTTTACGGATCAGACCAAATTAGGCCCGAATTCGAACTCGTTCCTGGGAAGGAAAGAAAGGGCACGATTTCAAACGAAGCCTTCGACAGGCTTCGTGGCTCCCCCATCCCCACCCCCCCACCCCGAGCGACTGCGGCTGCGGCTCAAACGAGTTTCACTCCGGATTAAGGCGTTTGGGGGAAGGGGTTACATGAGGTCAAGAGGTCTCTCTCTCTCTTTCTCTCTCTCTCTGCCGGGTGGCTTTAAAAAAAAAATAAAAGCAGAAGGACAAATTTATTCGTTCAGTTGGAAGATTATAGAAACTCGGGGGGGGGAGGGGCGGGGGGGGCGGCTGGGAATATTCATCAGATCACCAAACAAACAAACAAACAAACAAACAAACCGGGATGCTGAAACGAGAGCCCGGGTCGGAGGGAGCAGTTGAGGCCAAGCCAGCTTTGCTGGATAAAGATCATTAATCCATCAACTCCGCGAATGACACGGTGGGATATCTCCCCCCCAATTCCTGCATTAACCCCCCCAAAAAAGCTCGCGAACCTTGTCTTTATCTTGTTGATTTGACGTAGCACGTTTTGCCTGCCACCTAAAGATGCCTTTTTAAAGGAAAAGCTTCCCCCCCCCACTCCATCCTAACCAATTTAAAGGGGGGGGGGTGTATGAATAAACTAGCCAGTTTTCCGACTCTCCATCCTGAGCAGACGCCCAGGATTTTCATGTTAGGCTTCAAAAAAAGTTGGTTCTGTGGGGAAAATTTAAACAAGAAGACGCTTAAATCTGTCTTTAAAAAAATCGAAAAAAATAACTAGGGCGGGGGCTGGGTGGGTGGGATAGGGAGACGGGAAAACGCTTCGGTTAAAGTTAAAAGAGGCACCGACGTTGCAATTCGGTTCACTGAACGGCCGATTGAGCCGGTCGAAGTGGGATCCGGCACAACTTCGGCTATTGGGGGGAAGTGGGGGTTTGATTCTTGCTTTCAAAAATCCGTGGGGCAAAACGTGTAAGGGAGGCCGACTTCGAATAAGGGCAGCGAGGAAAGCGATTTCCCCGTTCCAGGGACATCCCCATGGAAATCGACCAATAATTTGCTCTTTGCAGAGCTTTTTGCGAAGCGAAAAAGT